CGAGCAGGAGGAGAACTTGTAGTTTTCACAACATGCCAGGCACATTGTACATGTGTCATATACAGTGATTTGTATAGTCCTAATGACTTGAGACAGGGGCTATCATTTTAAGAAATGGGCTAACAGACAGGCAAGGCAGCTTTTCAAAGATGCAGTAAGACCACTAAGCTAGCTGTGCTTCAAAGCCTGGGTCCTTATCACGATGTATCCTGGACCCTGTGTGCCCACACTGTACATGTGGAAAGCAGAAAGCACCTGCTGTCCCTATGTGACTCCGGTCTCACCCCCTAGTCACTCACTTGCCTAAACTGGTTTGTACGTACCATCTTGGAATTCTTGTCTTCTGATTCCATTCCAAGCAGCTCCATCACCAAATCTTATTGCTCCTACATATTTTAAAAACCTGGTTGCTTGTTTCTCTATCTTCTCCATTCTATTCTCCATCAGGCAGTCACACTTCTTCTTCCTTGCTTCCCCACTCTTTTTCCCTTCATCTTGCTTTCTCTCCCCACTGGACCTTTACTCAAGTTCTTTCCTTTGTGTGGGACCCTTTTCCCTCTCCTTTCATCAGACAGGCAGTCTCCTCTGATCAACTCTGTGAGGGGCAATCTGCTATTTGGTCCAGGTCTCCCTTAACTTTTCATAATATAAAGTTCATCACATCTCAATGAAATTGTTCATCTGCCGTCTATGTTCCCAACTGTGTGAGGAGAAGGTCTGTGTCTACTGTCTTCAGACTCTGTGTCCCAACTGTTGGGCATCAAGCCAGATATAGCATAGATCATGAAGAAATATCTACAAAAAGAATGGATGTGTGAGTGACTGGCAGAGCCATTTGGAGGGACAAAATAGGGGCCATAGTATCAAATTCCTCAATATTTTATATAATTCTTTTAATACTAGCTTTATTGAGATAGAAATCACATACCATCTATTTTATCTATTAAAAATGTAAATTTCTTAATTTTAGTATATTCACAGAGCTATGCAACCATTGCTATAATCAGTTTTAGAACATTTTCATCACACCCAAAAGAAATTGTCTCATTAGTCTCCACCTCACATCACCATGTTATTGTTAAAGACGAAAAGCCTAACATGTGCAGAGTGTTTTATAGTTAACAAAATACTTCATGTAAGTTCAAAGAATCTCGAAGAGTTCTGTGATGTGAGCATTTTGAAGCAAATTTCACTGGGGTTAAACATCAGTGTACAGAGTAGGGGCTTTAGCTAATAAAAGTTTAACCTGGAGGGAAGAACAGGGTGGTAGAGGTGGCCACTGTGTATTGAACGTCACTTCTATAATGGCGTAGTCCCAAGTTCTGTGTATGTGTTGCTCAATCTAGACCCGCTAGACTGCTGCTGTAATCTGCGTCATGCTGAATGTGGAAAAGTCAAATGCCTGGGGGATAGAGAAGGAGAGAAATAGAGCTAACAGCAGATGGCTTTTGAAATATGATGATGATGATGGTAATGCATGATCTGAATTTGAATCCTGATTCTGTTACTTACCACAACTCAGTAACTATGGGCAGATTAACCTACTCAATCTCCAGTTCCTTTACCTGAAAATAGTATCTATAGTATTTTTCTCATAAGGTTGTTGTAATAATTAAATTAGTACATGCAAAGCAAATGGTACAGAAGCTGGTGCTCAATAAATAGTAACACATTTGATCACTAATAATGAGCAGATGTGCGGCACTAACACTACATAATTACTGAAAATGGTAACTCATTGTCATTCGGATCATGGTGACACAGATGCACTCCAACACTGCAGGGCCGAGAGGGTAAAAAGGGCTTTCTGAAAGCGGAAGGTCAGTGTGGTGCAAGAGCATAGAGACAGCTTCCCTTGGCTTAGATAACTGTTCGGGGAACTCAGTGTTTACCGGAGATAATCTGCAATAGGCTCCTCCCCCAAATCAGCCGGTACCAAGGGTCCCTCTCAGCATCACCTGCCCTACCATAGCACTGGAAACAGCTGTGATGCTATGAATGGATGGCTTGGAATATAGGGTGATTTGGCCAAATGAGAGATTAGGCAACTATTAAAAATATTTTAAAACTAGGTGTGGAGAGACTCACATTCATCCTGGCAGAGCAGGAACAGACCAAACAAGCAAAGCAGCTTGGGTGGGCAGATGGCTGCCAGAGAGTGGGGGAGCCCTCTGGATCCGTGCAAGACCCTGGATTGCATCTGAAGTACATAGAAAGCCTCTGGAAATTATTCATTCATTCATTCTTATTTATTTGTGAGTGCCCAGGGCCCTGAGCATCCTAGCCAAGTTCTGTACCATTGAGCTACATCCCCAAATTCCACCAGAAAACTCTGAGCAGAGAGTGACAGTACCAGAAAATTGTGGACTTAAAAAGCCCAATCTTTATAACAATTTGGGAAAGTATTTCTCAAAAGACAAGCATGGAGACAAAGCACGATGGAAAACATGGGTTGGGGGGATGGCACAGTGACTGGGGGTTTTCCCTCCTTTTCCAAAATTTCCCTAATCCTGCTGACACATCGTTCCTCCACCTAAAAATCAAGAGAGAAAACTGATAATCCTGTGAAGAGTGGCTTTGTTCTCCCACAGGGGCTGGGGACACTATGTGAGGAGGGGAGAGCTTGGGAGGGAGGCTGTGGTCTGAAATGCATGAGAAGACGGAGTGGAGGTGGGGGGGTGTGTTATCGACCTCCATCTGAGGCCCCTTCTCTCCCAGGTGATAAACTATCAAAAATAGCTTCCTGTTGATGTCTCAGATGTTATAACTTCATTTATCACTGTTCTGATCTTCCCTTGCACCCTACCCTTGGGGCTGGAGTCTGTCAGCTCAAAGCAAAGGGACCCATGCCATGCAGAGCTTGGCAGAGGGAGCACTGGACCCAGACTTTAGCAAGGAGCCCACTGCAGATGTATTCCAAGCAGGAGCAAGCGAGGCGCCTTCCCAAGCAATCCACCTTCTCTTCCTTGGCCAGTGTTTGCATGCAGCCAGAGTGTGTGAGCTGCCTGGGAAGGTGCTTTAATCCATTCATTGATCCACACCACTCATGTGTTAAGTGCCTATTAGATATGGGCAGCATATGGTGATAGGGATGCAGAAAAGACACAGGTCCTCGATGACACTCATGCTGCTGTTGAAAGCAGGGTATATAATCCCAGCACTTGAAGGCTGAGGCAGGAAGATTGCTGAGAGTTCAAGGCCAGCCTGGTCTACAAAGTGAATTCAAGGCCAGCCTGAGCTGCACAGTGAAACCTTGCCTCAAAAAGACAAAAAAAAAAAAAAAAAAAAGCAGGGATGTGGATGACACAAAGACACAGAATTTTAGAACACAGCAGACACCGGAAATGATTGAATCAAAATTTTACAGGGGCTGTGTGTAGCTCCATGGTAGCACATGTGTTTAGTATGTGCAAGGTCCTGGGTTCCATCCAAGCATCAACAAATAAATAGACAAAATTTCTTATAATGATACATAAGGAAAACATTGTCAGGGAGGACAAATGCTCAGATCCCCAGGAAACAAAGTGACTTTCTGCAGAACTGTGATGCCTCCTATTAGCTTCTGACAAAGATGGTGGCTGTCCCCATAACCTAGTAAATAAAGGTGCCACCACTTTTGACGTGGGGGCACCCCTCCTCCTAGTCCCAGTCAAATGAGGAGCTCTAAAATCATATGTGGAGGAGCTGAAATATGTGGTATTCAAGGGCCCTTAGCAATGACACCACAGTGTGAGCCTTGAGAAGTGTCATGGCGGGTTCTGGTCCCACAGAGGTCACAGAAGGAACAGTGTGCTGCTACGTAGTCTGGGATGCTGCCACTCGGTCATGGGAATGGCAAGAATCTTGTCTTTGTTTCCACACGTTAACTGTAGCTTGAGGTAGAGCTCACAGCTGGGTCCGGAGCAGAGTAAATCGCTGTGTGTGTTCCTAAGTTCTCAGGGATAAAAGATTCTGCCTCCCAGAGTGCTGGGGTTATAGGCAGGACCCACATGTTTGGCAAGGGCTCCATATTCTTAGCATATGCCATGTAAAGGAGGAAAACTGCAGTAGAGACAGGGTCTCAGGGCTGCAATGACCAGTGGGGCTGAAGCACCTGAAGGAAAGGACTCAGCCCAAGGAGTGGCTTTCCCACCATCAGTTAAAGACTAAAAACCATTTGAGCTGTTTGCTTTGTTAAGTACTTCATCTACTTATTTGTATTATTTCACCTTCAACAGCTGTATGAGATTGTTTCAAAACAGAAGTTTATTAATATCCAATTTTACAGAGTGAAAATTCTGGGTCAAAGTCACCAAGTAATTTTTTTCCAAGTCACTCAAGTACTAAGTGGTGGAACCAGGATTCAAACCTGGATATGTGTGCCTCAGAAGTCATCATTCTACACTGGCCGGTGTGGTCCCAGCCAAAGGTGACATTTTAGAGGCCTCAAAATTCTGTTTTCTTTGTTTTATACTTGGATGGTTATATCTTCCTCCTATTTTTTTTCACTCTCAAGGACAGATCTTGAGGTTTTAGCTTGAGATTCCTAAGAACCAAACCCCAGCCTTCCTTCCCTTCCCGATACTGTCACATAAACCAAAAAAGGCGTTTTCAGTTCATCCATTTGAGGCTTAATGATGAAGTCAGTCTTGAAAAATTACCCCCATCCGGCTCTAAGCCCATATGCCCTCAACCTACAGCCACGTTGTGCATAGATGCGGAGACGGCCAAGTTGGAGGGGGCTTGGCTATCGTTAAAGAGAAGATCTGCTGCCCACAGAGAAAGTGAGCTCCTGTAGCAAGATGGTACTGGAGTTGGAACTTGAACCCAGGCCTCTTGACTCCTCCTGCTGTGCTCTTTTCACTCTACTGCCTGTGCATTTGCTGTGTTTAAACATGAGCACACACAGAGCATGAGGGACTGCTGACTGTCCCATCTATGCCGACTCCCCCCCGACCTGTGCGGGGAGAGACAGGCGCAGCATCTGCCCTTCGCCTGCTCTGTTCAGCTGAGCAGATCGCTATCTGTCTCCAGGCTGCCCGCGCTGCACCACCCTGTTGGAAATGATGAAACACTGGTGACTGACTACAGTGACAGAGGGACTTCCGGGTGGGGTTGAAGGGTGAAGTTGTTTCCACCAGGACCTCGCTGAAACATAGGCTGGGCTCAGACCTTGCCCCTGGCACCAGAGGTAAGTACTGGCTAGATAGATGGGGTTTTAAGCTAATTCAAAGCATGTGCATTTGTGGGGGCTGGATGTGGAGGGGTTTCAGGCAGGATTCTCCCTGTGTGTCAGGATTTCAGGATGCAGTTCAATTTGCAGTCAGCCTAAAGGGAACCTGAGATTCAGCAGTCTGGCTTTGCAGACATTACTGTTGTGTTCCCAAGATCTGAGATCGTCTGCATTAGCAGCAGCAGCCCTCAGGGCTCCATCTAGAAGGTGCATGGATTTTGCATCCTGAAAAACCTGGTTTCAAATCCCTGCTCTCCTAAACTTTATTGTGTCTTGGTTTCCTCATCTGTAAAATGGGTACAAGAACACCTACTCTACAGGGTTGCTGCAAGGATTCAGACACATACACTTGGTGCCAGGACAGCCCTCCATCAGCAGCTGCTGTTACTTTTTAAGTCAATTGGAAACCAGATCCCAGAGAAAATCTCCCCATAGGAAGGTTTTCTTTAAGATTTGTTCTGAATGGCAAAAGGTAAAAGGGAGAAGGTGCAGGAGTTTTAAATGCCATGGATGAAAGTCAAAAAATGTATCTTGTCCAAGAGAAAAAAGCCATGCACACATCCAGGCAAGGAAACAACACGAGCAAACAGGAACAGTTGCCCCAGAAATGGAGCTGACTGTGTGCTGTGCACTGTTCCTGGAGCTTTGCATAGATGGACCCATTTGATCCTCACGCCTAAGTAAGTTGGGGCTATGAATAGCTTTTGTTTACATTGGGGAAACTGAGGCTGCAAAGTTTTAAGTGACTTGACTGAGTCAGCAAGAGGAAACTTCTGGCACAGAAGAGCATCCTGAGACCAGCCTTTTTTCCCTGTCTCCCTGCCAGGGAGGAGCTCAGACAGGCCCGGACCAAAGACTTGCTTACTAGCCAGCCCTGCTTCTTGTGCTGTGTGTGGGCCTCATGGAGTGAGTGCTGGCGATTCTACCCATGGCAGGGCCTTGAGCAGGACTGGCTGCCCAATTGGAGAGACCCAATGCAAAATGAAAGTCTGGGCTGTCGTGTGCAAAAATTATTAAGAATAACGGCAAAGCATTTGGGGAGTCACGGGCCCTTGTGAACACAGGGCCACGCCAGGCTGCAAACCCATGAAGCCAGTCCCAGCCCTGGATCCTGACAATGAGGCAGGGAAGGTGCTAGAACATTCTGTGGTCTCGTGTAACCCTCCTGACTGCTCTGTGCCAGAAATATTTGACTTCCCAAGCAAAAGAGGGGCAAACTAAGACTCAGGGAACCAAGTGGTCCTCCCAAGGTCAAGTTTTTCTTAGATAGAAATGGATCAAATTCAGTTTGTACAGAGTTATATGGCATTTTTTTCTGTACAAAATGCCCCCAAAACTGTGTTAGGAATTATGGGGATGTAAAATATGGACAAGACATGCTGCCAGCCACCAAAGAACTCACAAACTGAGCATAATCTATAAAAGGTGCTTAGTTTCCCTGAGATGAGTTGGCTAATCTATGAAAAGTAGTGGGCCAATCTATGAAATGCATAATATTTATTTTGCTATCTCCCACAAGTCTCCAGGTTCACCTGGAACTAGCAAGAGTCAATCCATGCATAACTGCCCACGGTGCTGGCAGTGTTTTGTGTTCTTGTGATTTAGTCTTAGAGCAAAATTGCATTCAGTTCAAGGAATTTCTTGCAAAAATGCTTTTCCCAAACTTACTAATGAGAAGCACTGGATGGCTTATTATTTTTCTTAAAGAAATTGGCAATGCCTGCATCAAGACATAGTGTTATCAGAGATGTGATGAGTCTCACTGAGACTCAAAGTTGCTCTTTCTGGTTAATTTACGTCTCACCCTTTATGTTCACTTTGGACCTGTGGAATTCTAGAACAAAGAAATGCTAGAAATAAACCTATTTAGCCCAACCCACCCCCATTTTATAGGCAGGGAAACTGAGGCTCAGTGCCCAGCATGACTGATTTATAAAGTTGCTGAATTGGGAAGCTCATCTAGTTCCCATTTCATGTTCCAGATGACTCCTCACCACCTGGGGTAAGGCCCCTGACATGGCGGCCAGAGCCAGAGGGGATCCAAAGAAGATTTCTCTGATACCCAGGATAAAGGTGACCCCTTAACCTCTACCATCCCCTTTCCCTTGGCTTCTGACAGACCCTGTGCCTCCCTTCCATCCCCTCTGTCCCCTGCTGGGTTCACACACTGGCAGTGGTGGTGCAGGGTTTAGTAAGGACCAGGGTCTTCTCGGGACCCCATGACTTCGTGCACTGGGTTCCTCACACACCCCCTTGGAAATTGTGAAGGAGCCCTGCTCTCTCACAGGCTCTGTGGGAGTGGGTGTGTTTCTCTGGCTGAGTCACCTCTGCTCAGGGCTGTGATTCATCCCCTGCTGAGCACCTGTATGTGCTAGGTGTCCTGCTACCACCCTGCATACTCCCTGTGGTGCAGAAAGTCTCCACCCAAGCTCCCCGGGCTCAAGTCTGTTCCCCCTCAGGGGCTGCGAGCCTCGTTGTTTTTTCCAACATGAACAGTACTGTCCATCTCTTAAGGTTGTTATTTGGAGGCTTAAATAAGATAATTCAGGCACAATGTTTTTCACAACGCACATGCATCATAAACACACACACAGGCATTTTAAAAAAGAGGCAGTGTCATTCTTATTTTACAGATCTGAATGCTCAGGCTGGGGTGGTGAACAGCTTACAGCTAGGAAGGCCAGAGCCAAAATCCTGAATCTTGATCACTAGGACCTGCTCCTCATAGCTTTACCTACACTTACTGTGTGTTTGCTTTGTGGAGTTCTTGGCTTGCTCACATTATCTTATTTACATGAGGTTAAATCTAAGTTGAACTCTGCTGAAGACAGTCAGTTCCACTAAAGCTGCGCTCTCTGCCAGGGCTGGCAATGCCTGAGCTGGGTTGCTTGGTTCCCCTTCTTTGTGGTTCTCTGCCTGTGGCCTCTCCTCTGCTTCTCGATTCTACACATGTTCACATCTCAATCTTCCAAGAGCAGCACGAGCGCTTAGAAGCACAGATGTGTTCCTTTCTTCATGTCATCTGAGGGTTTCACCCACAGCCATGCATGCAGGTCGCTCTACAGTACTGGACTGATGGAAATGCAGATGTTTAGCAGACTACTTCAGTGCTCTGTTACCGTGGGGAGAGACATTTATGGGTTGGACTAGGTGTCAGGCTAACCTAAGTGGAAAACTCAGGCTGGATTAAATGTCTTGAGTATAGTTAATAGCAATATATTGTATTATTGAAAATTCCTAAGAGAGTAAATTTTGTCTGTTTGTTCGTTAGTTTGTTGAGACAGGGTCCCACTAGGTAGTTCAGGTTGGCCTTGAACTCATGGCGATTCTCCTGCCTCCTACTCCCAAGTGCTGGTAGTATAGGTATGTACTACCATGCCTGGCAAGAGAGCAACTTTTAAGTGTTTTCAGCATAAAAATTAAAGTATATGAGGTAATGTATCTATTAATTAGCTAGATGCAGCCATTCACATATATGTATTATACATACATACAAATTTCAAATCCAGATGTATATAAAACTATATATATATTCAATTAAAATATTACAAGTATTAATTTAGGGGTTGGGGGATGTAGCTCAGTGGGAGTTGTTGCTTGCCATGTACAAGGCCCTGTGTTCAATTTCCAGCACCAAAAAAAAAAGCAAAATAAAAATCCCCCCAAAATTCAATCTAGAACAAAAAAATTTTAATTAATAAGTACAGCTTTTCTTAATAGGAAAAATGCATACTAATTACTGAAAATTTTAAAAATCACAGAGAGTATGGAGATTGAAATAAAACAATCTGCAACCCTAACATCCAGCTTTGTTAACACTAAGGCATATTTTTTGCGATTTTTCCCTCTTCGAGCAAAGTTCATTTAAATAACATCTCCAATTTATTTCCCATAAATTTATATCTGTGAAGAAGTCTGTATTTATTAGACAAAATTGTTGTTAAAGAACTCTTCTGGATTTGGTGAACTGGTCAGGTGAATTGGGTAGTTTTTTATGTGAAAGCAAAATAAGCTTAATGAGATAGAGTTTTCCTTTTGCCAAGTTTTATTCTTTTTATGTTTATTTTTTACAGAGGTATGGGCATGATCATGTATTGCTAAGTGTAATTTTAAATATTCCATTTAATGCCATAAATCTGTTTTATTTCATTTTTGTTTTTTAGTTTGTTTCCCATTTTAAAATTTTAGATTGTTTATTTTTTAATAATTGATACTGCATAGAATGCTTTTGCAGTAATAACTTTGGTCCTGTTCTGGGTTGTTTATAAAGTTTTTCTTTTCTTCTTGGTTTTTTGAGACAGAGTCTCACTGTGTAGTTCAGGCTGGTCTTGAACTCATGGCAATCCTCTTGCCGCAGCCTTCTAACTGCTGGGATAACAGGCATGTGCCACCACTCCTGGCCATTTATAAATTTTCTGTTCCACACTCTTTATCCATTTACCATTTAGAGGATTCTTACAATATACAAGCAGTGATTGAAAATATAGTCACTGTTTAAAATTTTTAAAAATTATTACAACAAAAGACACATTACCATTAATTCCCCCGCCCCATCAAAATGTCTCCCCTTGCTTCAAACACAAATATTCTGGCATTTTTGCCACTTTCTGAAGCAGTTCTGGAAGCCCTTTTTCATATCTTTACAACATGTAATAAAAAATACAGTGAATAGTGCTGCTGAATGCCATCCAACAGAAAGGCACGCTCATGAAAACATTACCCGTGTCCTCATGCACCTTATTCACTGGATCTGGCATCATATGACTTCTGGCTCTTCCCCAAAGTCAAAGTGACCCTGAAAGATAAATCGCTTGAACCGATTTAAGACAGCGAGGCAGGTATAACAACAAAACTAAAAGCATTCATGAAAGAGAACTTCTAGAACTGCTTCCAGAAAGTGAAAAGAATAATGAAATTAAGTGTGTTTGAAGAGAGGGGAAGTATTCTGAGGGGATTAGTGGCAATGTGCCTTTTATTGTAATACTTTGTTTCAGTTAAACACACACTGTATTTTCTTTATCGTATCTCACACATTAAAAAAGATGTAAACGCTACAATTATGGTTTGCCATATGTTGCCACACTTGTTCTAGGTTTTTTGGTCTGTTTACCCTTATATTTTGTTTATTTTAACATATGAAGCTCTAATATTTTAGAGCCAGACTACTTTTCCATGTATTCCTTTGCATATAAACTAAGAGCTTTTTTTTGTTTGTTTTTTTTCCCGGTACCAGGAATCGAACTCATGACTTTGCACTTGCCAGGCAGGCGCTGTGCCACTGAGCTAAATCCCCAGCCCCTTGCATATAAACTAAGAAAGTTTTCTTTCATTTTGGGATTTAATAAATATTATTAAATAAATGAATATCCAATTCCACCCTTCTCATTTTAATGACTCAGTTTAAAAATATGTTCTTCCTAAATCCCTTTGGGATTTCTTTTGTTATCTAGTGCTGGGTCTAAGTTGCTTTCTCTTTCCTTACAGGTAGCTAACCCATTCTCCCTGTTGCATCATTTCTTAAATAACTCTTTCTTTTCATTTCCCTACCTTGTGAACCACTTTTGTGATATACACACACTGGCATAGTTTTAAAGCCTACCTTATTCTTAAAAAGCTCTAGTCAAGAACCTACCTCATCACAATTCCTTCCCATACATCTTTTGCTTCTTGATTCTCATTGTTTTTTCCCAGGAAAAAAAAGTTCAGAATAATCCTGGGTTTTAAAAAACTCACTGTAATTTTGTTTGGAATTATGCTGAACCAATAAATTAATTTTGAAAGTGATTTTTAAAAGTGTTGTAGCTTCACAATTTGAAATATCATGTCTTCCTATTAGTTTAAATCTTTTATGATTCTCAGTAAATTTTTATTAATTTTGTTCAGAATAATTTTCATACAGTTAAGATTACTGAGATATTCTTGTTGTGGTGGTTGCTAATCTCATGGTATTTTCTCCCATTTTATTTTCGGATCATTGCTAGTATAGTAAAAAAAAAAAAAGGGCTCAAATTTTAGACCATTTATCACAGCCAGAGGACTTATTGAATAGACTCATTGATTACACTAGTTTGCAATAGAAATTTTTTTGGAATTTCTAGGTATAAAATCATATGACTTTCAAGTAAGGATTGATTTGATTTCTCCTTCCCCCAAACTATACCTTCATGCTTTAACATACTGCACAATAGCTCAAGCTCCAACACTAGCCTGCCTGAGCACAAAGTCCCATCAGCCCTTTTCGACATCTTGAGCATGGTAGGTAACTTCTCTGTATCTTCATTTTGTCCTCCATGTTGGATATAATGCTAGTACCTCCTCCTGGAGATAGAGCATTGGATGGGTTAGTGTGTGTAAAAGTACCACAGAAAACATGCTTAATAAATATTCTGTACCCTTAAGGTTATGATTAGAAGTTGGAGAAGCCTCCAACTTCCAGGAATTAGAAATTCTCAGACTCATTTCTTCAAGTGATTACGTCAGACTTCCTTGTTCCCCAATAACTACTGACATATTTTACCATTTAGTAAGATATTTATGGGTGCAAGATGGTTATTCTTTATTACAGTAAGAAACAATTCTCATGGTTTTATTTTATTAATTTAATCAGAACTAAGTATTGACTTTATCAAATGCTTTTTGGCACTTTATGTATGGCCTATGGATATCACATTAGTAGTACTCAAGAGGCAAGGGCTTGGTGTGGCTGAGATATAGCGTTTGGGTCAGTTGGTCTTTGAAACGTGATTCTTCCTGCCAGGGACCAAGGCAAACTGCACAACCACTCTAAGCCTTGATCCCTCATCTATGAAGGGGTGGTCATGTGTGTTCTTGTAGAGAGAGGAATAAAGCACATGGAGAAATATTCAGTGTTGTCTTTCGTTCTTGTAATAGTTGATGTTCTCCACGTGCCTGGGCTACTTTCTTCATATGATAATATATTTACTTCTACTTTTATATATGAGCCTGGAGATTTTCCTATGTTTTCCTGTGCCCTAACTTTGTTTATGTTTTGTAGGAACAAATTGTGTATCCCTTAAAACTTTGAAATAATTCATTTGTAAGGCCATTTAGAACAGATTTTTAGGGAGACAACTCTGATAGGTTTTTAATTTTGAAGTAAAAATATTTATCATTATTGAATACTTTTATTACTTCATTCCAAAAATGATAAGAACTATTTTACATACTTTATGATCCCCAGAAGTATTTATATATCTGTTGTTTAATCCTGAATCTCAAAATTGCCCAGGCTGGGCTCGAACTTGGGATCCTCCTGCTCAGAGTGTTGGGATTACAGACCTGTGCGTCCTTGCCCGGTAGTTCCTACCTTACATATGAGAAGACTGAGGCTTTGAGAAGTTAAGTAGGCTCACGCAGAGATTTGTTATCAGGTTTCATTCTCCTTGCTTTGGTTTGGTTTGGGTCCATTTAAATTTTCTGTGCCTTATGAAGTCAATTTTACCAACCTATATTTGCTAGGAAAATATTGCTTTTATGTAGATTTCATTGGTGTTAGCAGTCTCACAAATTTTACCACTTCTGTTTCTGTGAGTAAATTCTCTGGGTCACTATTTTGGCTTATTTGTGGTTCATCCTTTCTTGGAAACTACATGTTAAATGAAGGAGCACGCTGTTGTAACGGGGAGGCTGGAAGAGGCTGGGTGATACTACGTCACGGAAAAGATCGTTTTCTTTTAAGTCTTCATTTTCACCCATTTTTGTTTTCGTTTTGCTTTCCCCAACACCAGCATTTAAAGAAGAAAACCGTTAGGGCTAGAAAGAGGCTTAGGAACCTCTTGTCGAGCTCCCTAATCCGCCAGGTCCAGGACAGGACTTCTGCCACTAGCAGATGAGCACCCAGGAAAAGTCAGGCCCCATCGGACTGTTCTGGTCTTCTTTTCTTCTACCAGAGTCATAGAATTCATCTCTCTTGTGATCTCACTTTAAGCCATTCTTTGTAGAATTCATTTATCCAGACAAAATGAGGTGTCCGGCAGGAAAGGGGACATCTTCTTATTCACTCTGATGCTGGGCTGCACCCTGGGGAAGGCCCCGAGAGGGAGAGGGACACGGAATATGAAGGAACCCAGCCTCCACCACGGGAGTGTGGCAGGCCAAGGAAATGCTCTTAGCGCGCAGAGTAGTTGCCTGGGGTGTCCAGACACAGTGAAGAAGGCAGGACAGTCCCCAGCTCTGTGACAGGATGAGGACAACAAACTCTCCTGTGGGTGGGGACTTTTTCAAAACATAATTACCTCACACTGCTCACTTCCCACTTGTTTGGTGTGTGTGTGTGTGTGTGTGTGTGTGTGTGTGTGTGTGTACAGGAGCAGATGGTCCTGCTGGCTGCCTCCTCAGCGATTTGCAATTAGATCTCCAGAGACAGCCTGCTCGTGGCGGTTAGGAGGCACTAGCCACTTCAATAACCATATCTGTCATAATTTTCCCACCTCATCCTGTTCTGGATCTTATCTCCAAACTATACTCAAAACAAATGTCCACATTTCCTAAAATAGAACAATCCAATTTCTTTTTGGCAGTGCAGAAATTGAGCCCAGGGCCTTGCACATGCTAGGCAAGAGCTTTACCACGGCTCTCCACCCTCAGTCTCCCCTAACAAGCTAACTTTTAATAGTTCTACTTGGACTGTGGTCACCATCATGGTAGAAGGTTTTCAGAGTTGAGTCATCCCTAATAATTAGTGAGCACTTCCCCTGTGCCTGGCATTGTATAAAGGTCTTTACAAATTGCATATATCAATGAGCCCACACAAGAACTCTGTGAGGTAAACATTACCATTCTCTCCATTTTACAGATAGAGAAACTGAGGCACTGCAAAGTTCTGTAATTTACATCTAGAAGGGGACAGACCTGGAATCTCTGGGGTTTTTTTAACTGTAACACTCTGTACGGCTCTCATTTAACATAGCTGCTGTATGTCATTTGGCCAGTAAAATGCTAACTTCATACTAAAATGGGGAAGGAAGCTTAGGCAATATAGCCAAAATAAGATACTAGTTTTAAAATAATGGAACATTTATTCCACATAGTGATTTCCAAAAAAGAGAACACTTTCTACTTCAAGGGGGCATTTAGAAACACGTGGGGTCATTTATGGTCATCTTGGTTATTACGCTGACCTGTTACCTTGATGGGTTTCCAGAATGCTGTGCATTCTGTAGATACAAAACAGTGCTAGAGGACAAGGGCTTGTCTAGCACCATGTGTCAGACAGTACTGAGAAACACCGATTCAGTGGAATAGAGTGTCAGGCCTCCCCATCCACAAGTTCTGAGACCGTGGATTCAAGCAACTGCAAACAGAAAATATTCAAATCACAAATAGTGTCTGTACTGGAATAGGTACAGACTGTCTTGTCATCTTTTCCTAAATAATATTGTATAACAACTACCTCCTTTCCCCAAAAATGAGACCTAGCTGGAAAATAGTCTTGAAAGCTAGAGATCAAAAATGACAACCTCCGTCAGCCAATCCTAGCCTTCCCACAGCACTGCAGTGAGCAGGGCCCGGTCTCCTACACTGTGGGTGGAGAACCCCCTCAGCGCTGATAATTCACAGTGACCTTGCAGCACCTCTTGGCACTGCAGGGGTGGGGGCTGGGAGGAACGGAGAAGGGCTCCATCACAGACAGGAAGAGAAATTCTCCCCTTGAGAATATGCTCACTTTTTATCCCTACCCACCCATCCCATGTGCTGAATCTATAGAAAACAAAAGACCTAGGCCTGGATCCTGAATCCACTTTCATACATCAAATTAGGTAGAACTCTTTGGGAGTGAATGATGATGACTGATGCATTCTGTTCACTTACGTGAAACTCATAGATAGACAGGTTGAGGGTCCTTTGGGAGCAGTGTCCAAAATTGATCACATAGGAAAGAGGGGCTTAAATAAGCAGGGTGAATGAACTGCTCCCAGCTTTTGACATCCCTCCAAAGGAAAGGCACCCTCAAGGACCACTGGCTGTATGAGAGGTGTAGGGGAGACCAAGCTGTCTCCTTCCTGGAGACATCCTGCTGGCCGATGCCCACACAGCCACAGAGAGTCTGGGATGACGAACTCCACAGACTCTTCTCTGCTCCTACTTTCCCTTTTCTGTAGTTTGATTTATTTGGTGCAAGCTTTGACACTAAGAAACTCAGTGATGCTAAGAGAACTGCAAATAAAAACAGCTCCTGGGCCTCCTCCCATTTCCCTTCACACTTGGAAGCCCTGATTGGGAAAAGAAGCACTAGTGGCAGCAAAGTGTTTTAAGGCTCACTGAGTAGGTATTCGGCCCGGTCTCTGTTCACTAAATACCATTTCAAAGCCTTCGCTAAATTCGGCCCTGTCTCTCCTCACTAAATACCATTTCAAAGCCTTCAAGATGATTTCGCTTAATGGAAAACTCCACACTCAACAACAGGTTGGAAGAATCCACACAGTGATTTTTTTTAAATAAATCTTTTGTAAGGGGATTGGAGGGCCTGATGTCCTGAAGCCCGTGGAAACTGTGGGGTGTGTGAGGGTGAGTGTGTGTGCGGCTTGTGTGGTGCATGTGAGTGTGTGTGCACTTAAGATCTGAACCTCTTCAGAGAACCTGTGCTGGCTTCTTTGCTCAAGCAGGACCGCTATGCCTGCAGTCACCAGCGACACTCTCCTTGGGCGAGAGCAGAAGTTCAGAGCGTGGGCTTTGGACTTTGCACTCCACACCAGGCCTGGCCGTTTGCAGCTGCGTGGCCTCAGACATCACTCATATCTCTGAGCCTTCTGTTGCTTGCTCTAAAAGGAGGCAATTATACCTCGCTCAAAGAATTGTCACCCAAATTAGAGAAGATGGAGGTTGTGTGAGGCACTGCCACCGTGGCTGACACTAAGTGCCTGCTGGCCGTTAGGTACTGATGATGTCATTGCCTATTTTACAGTCCGAATCTGAAATCTAGGGGAGCCTCAAGCCAGACTCTTTATCTGTCACCTTCCCTCCTACAGGTATCCAGGAGGATCCTGTTGGCTACCCTATCTGTGGTTCCTCCCAGACCTCTGTGTGCTGCCCCTCAAAAAGGCTGAACACCACTACAACCAGTGGCTGCAAATCAGAAGCTCAGCATGAGCTTGACAGGGTGAGGGACCCAGGACCATCCAGAGAGGCAGGAGGATCTGCCCTGAGACACATAGGGGTACCAGGCATTTGTCTCTGGCTGAGACAGGGGTGGATTTATGGTTGTATTAACATCTCTGCCTTTTTGACTCTGACCCTTCTCTCCCAACAGAGCAATGGAGCTCTGGCATGGCCTCGTGATCGCAGTGGTGTCCCTCATGCTCCAGGCCTGCCTCCTCATTGTGACGGGTTACCTGCTCAGCCAGCGCATAGGTAACGACCCAGCCCTTATCTTCTACTCACTGTCAGTGCCATGCCCCTGCCCACAGCAGAGGATGTCCTTTGGACCCCCTGAGTGTCACTGGAAAACTAATCTTAGGACCCACTGACCAGATCAGCCCCACTGCTACCCTCTTACCCCGTAATAGAGTCATCTCCATTCTAACCCCACCTTTAATTGACCTATTTATCTGCAGTGCTGGTGTGGAGGGGCTCATTCTGCCTGGACTCAGTTTTCTTTATCATGCCAAAGGCCAAGAATGGCCTTGAGTGGCAAAAGAAGAAAGTTCTGGAAAATTCCTTGAGCTTCTTGGGCTAATTTGCAGTAATGGTGCAGAAGCTCTGTCCTGGGAAAGCATTCCTATTAGGGAAAATGGTGCTGCTTTGGCTGCGCTAAGTCAGGGGACTGGACATGGCGATATTTTGAGTAAACATCCAGTAAAAAGAGTCCAGCCCTTTCTGTTCACTTGTTCATCCATCCATTCATTCATCTGACACATTTATTGAGATCTCAGGCACCAGCCAGGCCCAGGCTATATGACAGGAAACAAACCAGAAATTCCTGCCCTATGGAATTTTTACTCCATGGGACAAACAAGACAGCAAGTCACACACATGTATGTTAGGGTATGTGAGTACTAGGGAGGAAGTGAAGCAAGTAGATAGGAGCTGAAGGGGCGCCACTGTCCCTGGGTTTCTGGCTTTTGAGCAGGAACCTGCGGGAAGTAAAGAGAGCCACATTGCAAGGGCAGAAGCAGGAGCAAGCTGAGCACACAGTAGCGGGGGCAAAGAGGCTGGGGCCAGGAGCGGTGGGGGAAGCAAGCAGGAGGAAATCAGAGGAGGAGTCACGAAGTCACGTGGAGGTGCTCAGAAGCTGGATGCGGCATTTTCAACAAGGGAGGAAAGGAGACAGCACAGGGTTTGGAGCACAGCAGAGCTGAGATTTAAAAGGATTCCTTGGAAGGTCTGGCTGAGAGAGGGCAGGTTCAGAAGGCATTTGATTGGAGGGGGCGTCTAACCCAGGCAGCAATGATTCCCACGTGACCTTGCCCTCTCTGTTCCAGGCCAGCAGAGTGAACGAATGCTCAAAGAGGCCAGGCTGCAGGCCCAAGGGTCTGGCCCTGCCCACCAGCCCCTGCTGGTTGCTAAGGAGACCACGGAGACTTGGACAGAGAGAAGCACCCCCGTGTCTGTTCCCCATTACAGGCGTGAGTCAGAGGCAGGGACTTGTCCTGAAGCTTGCTGCACGTTGTTGAGACAGCCAGGAGCCTCCCTGCAGCAACCTTGGGGAGTCCATCCTTGGGGAGTGAATCTCTAGCCAGGGGCATCCACACACTCAGGGAGTCCAGGCCTTGCCAGCCTGCCTTTCCCAGAAAGGTGTCACCTGTGTGTGGGGAAGACCCCCGGGGGCTGTATAGATCTGGGTTCATTCCTGGGACTGCTCATGGGTGAATGACTGCAGGGGGGCTCAGAGACTGTCTCTGCTCCTTGCACCCTGCAGCATCTTCCACTCTTCCAGCTAAGGGTGGAGCTAAGATTTCAACCACCCCTTCCTGCCCCCACCTTGGCTGTTGCTGGGCATCTACCATCTCTCTGACCAGTTCATGGCTGGTTCCAGAAGCTAGCCCTTCCACACTCCCCACAGAGACCTTCCTCAAGGTCTGAGGCCTGCTTGGGGATCTGGGCATTTTGATAAATATGTGTCCTGAAGATGATTCCATCTCTATTCCCTATTGCAAGAAATACCACCCTTCCGGTTTTGTGCAGAGACCTTAGGTTTTATTGCACCCTCTGGCTCTGCAGTGCTGGGGACCAAACCCAGGGCCTTAAGCATGCTAGGCACGCCCTTTACCACTGAGCTATACCCTTAGCCTTGTTTTTTATTTCACAGTTTGGGAGACCCAAGGGTCGCTATTGAAACTGAGGCTTACAGTGGGTGCTCCCCTGTCAGAGACTGTACTTTTTCCACTGGTTTATCTCTTGATGAGTGATGTGAGTTTGCTCCATCCTTCTGATTTTATCTTTTCAGCTGAGATAAGGCCTCTGAGTTTGTGGGAACCGGAGAGTGCAGCTTGCAGGCCCCAGTGTTTCTCAGTGTGGAGAAAGCTCTGGCCTCCCCGTGACCCCTGGCCACAGAGCTTTGCCAGAGTCCGGCCACAGTCAGAGACTGTTGGGCTAGCAGGGGCCTCAAAGGTCACTGCTCAACTCCCTTGCTTTACAGAGGACACAAACCAGGGTGCAAAAAGAAATGTGAGCTGCCTAGAGCTAATGACAGCTTTAGACTGGAACCTGTGCCTGGGACTTGCAAGGCCAGAGCAGTTTGTGTTGGGCCACACACTGCCTCAGCTTGTCCCCTGGCAGACATCCTCCCTGGCACAGTAAAGCCTGTTGTGTTTTATTCGTTTTAGACAGAGCTGTAGGAAGCAACAGTGCTTGGACTCTTGTACATGTTCCTGCCTGATGCTAGAAGCTCTCCTGCCTACCACCCTTTCTCTGTTCTGCTTTCTCCTCTTCTTTTTTAGGGTGTCTGTATCTCTCCTTCCCGCTTCTCTCTGAAATGTGGGATCTGCCTCTGTCCTTTCACATTCCCTTCCACTGCCTCCGCCTTCTCTTAACATCCCCTGGCTTGCTTTGGAAGAACAATGTCCATCTCTCTCCAGGTGAGAGCAGTACATCCTCAGATAGCTCAGACAGCTCGGACAGCAAAGACAGCTCCCCTCCCAGCTGCCAGGTAAGGACAGTCCTAGTGATCTCAGCCTCCATGTGCAGCCTGGGGTTCTGGCTGTAAAACAGGGAACTCAAGCCTTCCCAGCTACGTTGGTTGGAACAATAAAGGAGGCCTGGCAAGGCCTACAGCATCCCAGGTAAGGGTGTCGTGCTTCCCCCCACAGTCCCATATCAGCAAGGATCGCCTAAGCAAGGTGGGTCTGAGCAGACCATGAAAGTGAGAGTATTAATGAGAAACCCCTTTTGCCCCAAGGGCCCAGTCATTAGGCCTAAATCTGCACTGGATCCTGACCTCACTTGTCTGAGTCTGCATCTTTCTTTCTCATCCCTTGAACCGCTCACCCTGAAACCTGTTCCCTGCAGACAGCGGGGACACAACCATTAGCATCTTCCGCACTGCCCTGGCCTTGCTCTCACACAAAGCCACCTGGATTCCCACCCAGGCTTGGGCAAGCCTCTCTGAGTTAGAGCTCAGTCCTGGGTCTTAGCTCCTCTGAGCATGCCGCACACCTTGCCCCACACATCTCTGCTTTCTTCCCAGGTCACCAAGGATGTGAATTATACACAAGTGGTTTTTTCGACCCCTGGAGTACGAAACAGGGAATTTGCCCTGGACTATGAGAACATAAAGGAAGCCACAGATTATGTCAATGTCAATCCACAAAGCCTCAAGCCTAATTTCTGGGCATTTTCAAACCCTACTGTTTCTGAGCCAGTGGAATATACTCAAGTGGTTACATGAATTTTAGGTGTTTTTTTTTTTTTTTTTTAAAAATGAAGATGCAATTCTCTATTGATTATTAGATTTATTTTGTATGGGAATTCCTTTAAATAAAAAAAGGTATAGAGAAAAAAATAGATCTGGCCCCAGCAAGAAGACTCCAGATCAGATGTTAGGAAGAACTGCCAAGTAAAGTCTGGAAACACTGGCACACAGCAGCAGAGGACGTGATGAGGTCTTTTAAAAAGTTTTAATCAGCTGCAATGAAGTTCTATTTGGTGGTCTTAAGGTTACATGACTTCTCTTTGATTATTTGCCATAAATAATTTTCTTAAAAATTGTAAGTAGAATTTCAATGACCAGTTCTTCTTTTCCTCTTGCCTAATCCTGCATGTTGACACTTTTATCAGTGATGTGTTTTGCTGAGTAATCCTGCTTTGCCATCACAATTTCAAATAATTCACTTACGAAGCCTACCATCAATGAGCCTCTGAATTTGCTGTGTTTTTTTTTAACAAGCTAAAGAAGACAAAGAGAATCCTAGTCAATATCAGCTAGCATCACAATTGGTTATCCCAAGGGAAATCTTTTAAAATTTAATACAATAAAATTCAATGTCCACTCCTGGGTTTTGTTTTAACCAATTATGAATATAAAGGTCCTTCTTGACTTGGTTAAGAATTGTTTATTCTCAAATCAGCGGGTAACACGATATTTAAGTGTAAGATCCTAGACAGAGTCCCATTAAGACAGAAGTGAAGGGCTGGGGATTTCGCTCAGTGGCAAAGCGCCTGCCTGGCAAGCGCAAGGTCATGAGCTCGGTTCCTGGTACCGGAGAAAAACCAAAAAAAAAAAAAAAAGACAGAAGTGAAGTAAAACTGTCCACAAGCCTTAAATTGGCTAACGTTGGCTAACATCAAGTTCAGAAGTTATCAGTGCAACCAAACAGCAAGCTGGGGCACAAGGATGCACACTTATAATCCCAGCAGTGCAGAAGGCTGGGATAGGAGGATCACCCGAATCCAAGAATTTAAGACCAGCCTGGGCAACATAGTGAGACTCCCATCTCAAAAAAAAATATGAGTAAATAAATAATCAAGAGCTATAATTACTGGAAAGGAGGATAAATTGTTCACTGCAGATGTCCTAGCTCTAGAAAGTGACAGGGACTTCAAAAGTTTTAAAATTGATAATGTGTAATAAGTGGTGATCAGCTATACATTTTTTTCTAATAGCAAAGTAAGACATGAAAAAAAGTTGTTCATGATAGCTAAGCAACCACATCCCAAAAAGCTGAAATCTCAGGGGAACTCCTAGCCAAATCCAAACCTAGATCCATGGTATTCAGGTCTTAGAGCTCCACAGCTGTCTCCATCTGTAACCCTGGGGCTGTGAGCAGCTGGCTGGCCCTCCCCACACCAGTCCTCTTCCCCAGGAAGATCTGTAGTGACAGTTCTAGTTTGGACTTCAGAAGCTGGAAAATTCTACCAGCCTATTTGTCCCCCAAGCTTCCAACTATCATGTTATTTCTCTCCTTGAAAGTTTCACTGAACAGAAAAAATGATTTTACTGATCAGAGAGGCAGAAAGAGGAATAAACATCACTACTAATAAAGTTGCCCTTACATCAAGAAATGAAATTCGACTTTGCATTGATTTCTTTTAAAAGGCTAAAAAAGAAAATCCAAGCGTGTGTTGAAAAGGTTTGGATAAGTTCCACATGGGCCACCCAAGGGACTGTGTGGGAGCAATGCCACAACAGCTGCACACAAGGAGAGAGGCCACTGGAGCAGGCAGAGACCAGCCCTGGGGACCGAGAGGAGAGTGAATTCATGAGAATACTGGTCATCAGAGATCATCAGGGTGGGAGTTAAGACATCTATAACCTAATTGAGGGGAACAGGAAAGAACTGGAAAACATTCACAAAACAACAGGTAACGGGGCAGAATTAATACCAGGAAATGACACCAGAGCGTGTCAGGGTTAGATCTGGGGAAATGATTAGGTGGACTTAATCAGAAAACATTCCAGAGAGGGGTTATTTCTAACCTCGGTTTAGAAAGGAGGGTGGAAAGTCAACTGTTAGAAAAAAAAAAAGCAGAAGGAAAGCGAACAGGCCAACTACATGTTGGCTCTCTGTAAGGCTCGAGGGGCTGTCCTGCTGCCAGAATGATGTGCAGAAAAGTCTTCCTGGGCTCAGAGTGTGCCACCCATGATGCTCAGGAGCAAGGGCTGTGTGTCAGGGAGACCAGAGGCAGCAGAATTCCACTGGCCATCTGAAGATCTCTAATTGCCCTGCTTAAAAGTACAGCATTTATAGTAGATCCACCACAGAAGGCAACATTAGCCGTCATCATAATTGCTTTTCAGGAGCAGGCACTCTTGGAGAGTGATGTTTAAAAACTGTTGAAAGTGTGACTTGACCAAATGACTCTCAGAATTTTGAGGTTTCATGGCATAGAAGACTCCTCAGATACTGTGATAAATAAAGGGAAGGGCTGATTTTGCCTCCTTCAGGGCTTGAGCTAAGGGGGCCCACTAATAATTTAAATGACGGCAGTTCCCTTGTATATGTGGAGACACTTCCATGATCTCTAGTAGATGCCTAAAACTGTGGACAGCATCAAAGCCCGTACATACTATTTTTTCCTACATATACATACATACATACATACATACATACCTATGAGATAGTTTAATTTATAAATTAGGCATAGTAAGAGATTAACAATAAGAATTAATAATTAAATTGAAGAATTTTAACAATGTACTATATAAAAGTCATGTGGCTGTTGTCTCTCTCTCTCATGTATGTGACACTGTGATAGTTAATCTAATAACCATGGCAGCTACTGAGTGACTACTGGGTGGGTAGCATATATAGTATGGATACACTGGACAAAGATATGATTAATGTTGCAGACAGAAGGGAACAGAATGGTGCAAGTTTTTATCACACTGCTTAGAAATGTAAGCAATTTAAAATTTATGAACTATGAATAGAGAGGATGACTGTAATCCCTGATGTCATCTTCAGCCATATTGCTGCAATAAAATACTCGTGGTTGTAATATTTCTGTGCACTTAGAGGGTTGGCTGCATAAATCTGTATAATAGTCTCCTGGATGCATAATCTCCCTTTGAGGAACAGTTTCCAGTTTGATGAAGTTATGTTCTCCCATGTTACTTATCATTGGTGCCTCCAGGGAACCATTGTGCTGATCCAATATGGGTTCCTTCAGGAGTGAGGACTAGATGAAAACCTCCTCAAAATTACCTGATAATAAGATGGAAACTAACTTGCTAGTGGCAACCAGTAGACAGGTGATTACCTGCCAACAGTGAGTGTGGAATCTAGACCACAGTGAATGTGACTTGTCTTCAGCAAATTCCTAAAAGGAGCAAGCACTGAAGTGCCCACCATGGGTGATGAGGGGGTATTTTGTCTTCAGCATCAGTAGGGATTTTGCTCCTGGATTACTGGGTTCAGAGGGGCTCTCAGAAGACGTGTTTCCTCCAGTTTCTAAACAGGACACAGAAAAGGAACTCTTGGTTCATTTGTTTTTTTGAGACTTACACACAAGTCTCACTGCCTTTCAGGCTGGAATTTCTGTACTTAGCCCTTCCCTCTGGCATAGAAACCTCTTGTTCTTTATCCTTGCCAAATACACATAGCTTTTGTGAGCTTCAAGGGAAGGAAGTGAGTGTCCAGATATCTCAGGAGAACTGTGTCAAATGAGGGACTAAGACTGCAAGAGAAAGCTCAGTAAGGCACGCAAGCTGAGAAGTTGTGGACTTTCTAGCCCTTCCCTAGGGTCGTGACTGCTTCAGACCCTGCAGGAAAGGTGGAGTGTATACACTAAATCTCAGCAATATTTGGCTGGAGAAAGAGCTTCATCCTAATTCTTTGCAGGAGCCACCCACCCACCCCAAGCTGACAGCGTGGGCGCTTTCAGCTCTACACTGCCACCTTGTGGCCCCAGGGCACACTCGAGGACACTCAATTTTTCCCATTTGAGCTGGACACAGGGCTCCAGGGAAGTGACCTCTCCCTACCCCTTACTCAGGAAGATCACGATTAATTTTATCTCATATGTCCCACTGTGGTTGCCCCTAGGAAACAAATAAGCCCACAAATTCTCCAAATGTTAAAGAATTTTATTGATCAGTTTCAACCACATTCTGGATTCCTGACCCAGGAGCAAACTGCTGCAGCTTGGGCTGAATCTACAGTCCTTTGATAGAGAAAATACCTATTTACATACAGAACACAGACAGAGCTTTCTGGGAAATTGCTGGCCTATTCCAAACCATACAAAAAGCCATTCCGAGGAATCCATATATTCAACTGATGAACCCAGCCCCCACCATCCTCTCTGCCCTACCTGCCCCCATCCCTGTTCCTGCATTGGTTTTAAGAGAATAACCTTCTGCACAGCATTGCATGAGCATCTTATCCAGGGGCCCCTCCCAGGGATGTCTTTTTTCAGTTCTGCTGAGATTAGCTGTCAGAAATGAGACCAACCCCCGGGAGCACAGAGCTACCTCTGGGTTTTCACAGGAGTCCACCTTCCGGTACTGCACCTAAGGCTTTTCTGTTGGCTCAGAATGTCCACAAGAGCTTCCTACAGTGCTGTAAAAGCCATCATCCATAGATCTAAACAAGATCCAGCCTTCCTTCCAGGAACTTCTCAGGATGAGCTCCTGAGGCCAGAAGCCCAGTGTCTGGTTACTCTCCCTTGGAAATATCATAGGACAGAATCAGCTCTCTGAAAAGGGCAAGTGCAGCCCCTATGTGGGAGGAACTCTGGGGCCCCCAAAGCCACTGCACAAGTAAATTCCCCTGTGCAGCGCAAAGCACAGAACACAATAGTGGTAAGACAGGGTGCTACAGAAATGAAAGAGTAGATAAGAAAGGAACTTTAGTCAGTCTTGATCTTGGGGCTTTGCTTTTCCTCTCTAAACTATATACTCTCATAGGCCCAGGGCCTTGGAAGCATACCACTAGACATAATCTGGAGCCAGACCATCACTATACCCTCTGACATCAGTAGAGGGTTCTACGGCCTGAGTCATAAATCCCTCCAACCAAATGGCATTATACTTCTATTTAATAAAAGAGGGCAGTGTTGCTTGGAGAGATTGGATATCTTGCTAAATTCATACAGGCAGAAAAGATGCAAACTCGAGTCTTTAGGGAGCACAGCTGGTGCCCTTTCTACCTTCCAGTCATCACAATGAGCAAATATTTACCTACCTACCATAGGCATGGGGACCAGGAGCTGAAGTCCGAAGATGGGGTGTCAGGTGGGGAAGGGGCAGAGCAGGGGAAGCTTATGTAAGCAAAAGGAGCTACTCCTGCTCTGGCTGCCTAAGGAGGCTTCTGAGCCCAGCTCTGCCTGGCAGTGCACAGGAGAGAAGTGACTGGGGGTTGGGCGTTGCCTTGGGCAACAGAGCCCAGTGAGGGGAGACTGTGTCCTCATGTCTGCCTTGAGCCTCAGTGCCAGTAGGGACTGTGTCCCATGCTCTGGCCCTCCAGTGCTGAAGGCTTGGGATGTTTTGCTTACTCACAACACTCGGTTTAGGCTGTTTTCTTTTAAGGAAGCTCAAGGAGGCTTCTGAGAGCTGAGTGGCCTCTTAAAGAAGAGCATCTGCAAAGCCACCGTCACTCCTCAAGCTTCCCTGGGAGGGGACAGAGAGTGAGCCTGGGCCCTCAGGAGCTCTTGGTTAGATAAGAGATTTGCTGTACATCAGTATAGAGCTTGAGGGGCTGCAAGCCACATTTACATCCACAGTTCTTCCTGACCCTCCTGACTGAGAGAGCAAGGATGAGCCAGCCCTCTTGGCCTTTCAGCTGATACTTGGTCCACCACCCAGACTGCATCTGAGAGCCAGACCAAGGCAGAGAGACCGTTCATGGCCCAAGTCCCCCTGGAGATGATGAGAGCGGGGCAAAGCCCAGTTCCACACCACTCTGCTGTCTCTCCTGGACTTGCAGGAGGGTGGAAGTGGACAGAAGGGCCATGCAAGACCCTCAGTCACCAGGACTGAGTGAAAGGGTATAAATGTCATTGTCACGAAAAATTCAACAATTCTTCTGAGCCTGTGGGTTGGAATACTCCTTGTGTTTCTCTACTGGAGTATGATTTTTTCATTTTGCAAAATCATAGAAAGCTAGAGCTGAGATCTGGGAAAGACCTTGGAGACTGTCACACTCATCTTACAGGCGAGGACCGTGAGGCCCAGAGGGGAGAGGGGACTTCCCAAGGCAGAGCTGAGGTGCAATCCGGGGTCCTGCCCAATCCCAAGGCCCATTTGATTCACAGTAAAAACTCCCCAGAGCCTTGGGGACCCCAGAGCCAGGCTGGGTGTCACTCCTTCATGTCACTCCTTCTCAAGTGTGTCTTTTCCCTCTAGTGGCCCCAGGGGAAAGAGGAGTTCAGGTCCATTTGTGCCAGGATGGAGTGCAGCAGCCCCTGCTGCCTCCAGACTTATCTCTGCTCTTAATGTCTTGTGACCATTTCCACCTCTTTCCTCTCACACCCACTCCCTGTGGGCCGTGCCACTGTGGACTCAAAACCCTTGTCCCTGTCACCCACCCTGTGACGTGGTAGGATAGGGGAAGAAGAACTGGTGTTTGCAGAGTTCCCACTGGGTACCAGGTGCTGAGCCAAGTCCTGCATCTCCGGTAGACCATCTCCTTTCCACAGACAGCAGATGAAGCCCACTTTCCACATTAAACACTCCTCCTTCAGCCAGGCAGGGTGTCACATGCTTGTGCTCCCAGCGCTCAAAGAGGCCCAGGCCAGAGGGATTCGAGGTTTGAACACAGTCTAGGAAACTTAGCAACTTAATGAGCCTCTGTTTCCAAAAAAAAAAGGACTAGGAATGTAGCTCAGGGCAGAGGCGTTGGATTTGAGCCCCATCACTACTACCCCCATCTAGGGGCTCCTCAGCCTTTAATTTCTCCCCTCTCCTGATTGGGCTGGCATGCGCTGGTCAGTTTAGAACGGGGACAAGTAGCCTGACACCTGATTTGGGGCAACCCAAGTGCCATCCCAAGCCTGCCCCCAATGTGGGGACCATATCTACCAGGGGGTGTGTTCTCAGGCACCCTGTGAATATAGCAGGACCAGGGAGGCGGCTCTCAGTCTTCACACTAGGAGCAGTTGTGGCACCAAAAGTAGGGACAGCCATTGTGTCCCGTCCCCCGTCTCAAACTAGGCTCCCTTGAGGCCAGCACTGACCTTCCAGCCCTCACACTTGTTCCCAGGATGGGCAGAGACTTTCTCTCACCCTGGGGCAGACCCAGACTCCAGGGAGTCTTCTCTAAAGGGTGCTGGTCTCAGTAGTGGCTTCACCATCTTCCTGCTCTAGGTCCTTCAGAAACCCCTCAGGCCCTGGTCTCCTGCCTGGGCCGAGGCTGAGGCTGGGCGGGCAGCTGGAGCGAGTCAGCAGTGTGGTGTGGCGGCTGGACAGGCTGCCATTGGAGAGCTGTCTGTGCACCTGGGGCCGGGCCCCTCTGCAGCAGGCCAGGTGGCGCAGGGACCGCGGCAGCAGGTGGCTGTTGAAACCCATGTAGATCCAGGGGTTGCAGCAGCTGCTGAGGTTTCCCAGAAGCATGGAAATGGTGAAAGCCATGTTGGTGGAATCTGGCAAGAGAGAAGCACAGGAAACCACAAAATGACAGAGAGAGGGGACCTAGGAGAGAGGCCAGTCCTCACAGGACAGGCGAGGACACCGAGTCCCAGAGAAGCAGAGGGCTTCACGTTTAATCACAGAGGACTGCAGCTGTGGCTTGAACCTGGGACTCTGACTCTAGAGTTTCACTTCACTGATTTTTTTGGTTTGTTTTTACTTTGTAACTATGAGGGGAGGGGAGGAGCCAAAATTTATTCCAGTTGAATTTAGGTTACAGGTTGTTAGGGCTAGAACCAGCCTACATGGGAGAAACTGGTTTCATTCTAGAGTCTAAACCATGGAACCCCTAAAGGATATAGACCTAGGATGAGACATGCCTGTAAAACACTCAGGAAAAGTAACCAAAGTCAAGTCCCTTCTACCTCTGTCCCCACCTATGTCATGGATCATGGCTTCACGTTGCCTTCTGGATTCTGTCCTCCCGTCTTTGGGGTGATCCCACTCATCCTGTCACTCAGTCACTGAACAAGTGTGAGCACTGGGACTGGGATGGGGCCCCAGACTGGGAACCTAGCAGGGCAATCAATGGCTCACGACTGCTCTGCAGGTGCCCACACCGTCATCTGTAAGTGAAGCAGCGGGACAGATTCTCTGGATAGCGCATCTGAAAGTCTCATTCCAGGCCAGTGTTGTCTTGTGTTCTCAGACATGGAATGCACCTCTTGCAGGGAAAAACTAATTTCTCTCTTGGGCAGTCAGAACTCTGATAAGATTCCTTCCAGACACGATGTTCTTTCTGAAGATGAAGTGAAACCCCTCATGCCAACAGAAAGGCTGCTGGGATGGGCTCCAGCCTCCTGCTGGATCACCCTGGTTACAGCTATGGCTCAGTGGTTTAGTGAGTTGGTGTGCTCTTGAGAATCACAGAAAGCAATGTCGGAGTTCAAAGGAAGCTTAGGGGCACACCCCCAGCTGTTCACAGCACAGTGAACAAGAAGCGCCTTTTGAACCTAGGTCTTCCAGCTCTAAGACAGAGGTCCCATAGAGTACCCTAACTGGCAAAGTCAAAGACATAGCCTGTGGGCCTATGCTGTAGAGCACCATGGAAATTTCAAGTAAACCACTCCTCACGTGCATCCCCCATGGGTGTGCACAAGGTATGCCACCCATGATCCAAGAGAAGGAAGACATAGGGTAAGAGGCATAAATCACAGGCATGGGAAGGTAAAGGCACCTGGGCTGGATGAACGAGACCCTTGGTTTAGGAAGCATCCATTTGGTTTGGCCCTCTGAGCCAGGACCAGTGCAGAGGCTAGAGGAGGACACCAGGAAGCACCAGCATCCATGGGGCCTCCACTTCTCAGCCCCGCAGGGAAGACCTGCCATGCCCAGTCTAGGCAGAAGCTCAGCTGACAGTGGGCACAAGGAGGGGGCAAGGATATAAACTCCAGACTCAAACCAAAGACTTGGAGCCAAGAGGCCAGGGGGCCAGCATACTGTGGAAGAGAGCTTAGTACACCTAAAAGTAAGTTTAAAGTAGTAAATTTCAGCCTAAAGGCTCTTATTTTTCTGAGAGACCACTGTCTGTAGGATAAGGCTTTGTCCCTGGCTCCTTGCTCAGAGATGTTATTGGCAAGTGGTAAATCACAATGCAGACGAGGCACTGGGGACCGGCTTGTGGTGGATGCTGTGGGTAAGCACCAAAGCCTACACTAGCTGACCATCAAGATCCTTATCTCTTTGTGGGTTCCTCGATGAAGAGGTTAAAGGACCCCCTCACCCTTGATGGCATTGGCTGAGCAGTGACTGTTGGGAGTAAAGCTATAGCGTGGATACGCCTTGGCCCATAAAAACCTCAGTTCAAGTCCTGACTCCTTCTCCTACTAGCAGTGGCATTTTGGACCAGTTGTTTTACCCGTCTGAGCCTTGAGTACTCAGTTGTACAATAGAGAAGGTCACCTCCCAGAGGTGTGAGAGGCACAGGGAGATCCCATGTGCCAAGATCCCAGGTACTTCATGGATTTAGTATGCTCATTGCTTACAAAATAATTTGCAAATAGCCTCTTATCCAAATTGATGTCAAAAGGGGTTAAGAAGGGACACAATGGGACCATCCTAGCTTGGCATTATTTTTGCACTTTTCCTGCATGATTATAAATCTTTCATCTTTCCAGAAAAGCAAAGTGTTTGGCTTGAATGTATTGTGGGATGATCAAAATGATTTAAAAACAAAAACGCAAAGGGAGGGGACAACTCCCTACAGACTATAAGAGTTGGTAGCTTCACCCTGCTAGAAAATCAGTGCTCGGGACACGTTCAGATGGAAGCCTGACAGCCTTCCCTAAGGCAGCTGTATGCTGCACACGTTCTCTGCACCCACTGCATAGATGTCCCAAGCTATACACACTAGGAGGTGCCTGGCAGAGCGGGAACTCCTCCTCACAGCCACCCTGAGGACAGGTCCGTGTCCACTTGTCCTCGTGCTCCCTTTCCAATTGTGGGAAACAGGAACAGATGCCTGTAAAGACCACTCTGCAACACACAGGCTGCCCAAACACAGCCCTGAGCCCTCCTGAGAACAAGCTCACCTCCAATGGCCCAATTACCAGGCAGCGTCTGAGGCTCTGCAGGCTGCTGTGCACCTCATGCCCCCTAAATGCAAGGCCTCCCATCTGCCAACTGGACCACAGTCTTCTGGGAAGCTCCCATTTTGTTTATTGTGTAGGAGGGAGGCCCCTCTCCTTGGAGAGCCACTTGTAGAACCCGGGTTCTGGGCAGGACAAGGAGTTGAGGGAAAAGACAAGAAGATGGGAGACTTGGGCTCTACTCCTTATTTTGCCACTCTCCAGGTGTGTGGCCCTGGGCAGGTCATGGCTCCTCTCCGAGCCTGTTTCCTCACTGATGTCATGAAAGGGCTAAAGTGGATGACTGGTAGTGAGTGACCGTTGAGGAGGAGCTCAAAGTCATGTCCTGATATAGGAGAGAAGAGCGCCCAGAGAGTCAGTTCCTGGGCCACAGATTGTCCTCCTGGACAGATCATTTGAAAATCCCTCTTAGTTCTATCTTTCTTTGATTCAAAAGGCCTTCTAGCAAATGGAAGTTGCTTGGGCAAACCTGCCACTGCACTAATGTCACACAGTATTTTAAAATTGTCAAGCAGGTTGCCAAAATTGAAAAATCAGGAAATTTCACATAAAGATGCATAGCACTGGTAGGCTAGATGAAAGTTGTAACTCACTTTTCACATAGGACAGTGCCATGGTTTGAATACCTGTCCCCCAGAATTAATGTGTTGGACATGTAATCCCCAAAGTCATAATGGGACTTGCAGTTGGGACCTTTGGGAGATGACTGCATCATGAGGGCTGTGCCCTCCTGAAGGAATTAATCCTCAGAGCAATGAGTCTTGTTATAAAAGCAAATCTGGCCATCTCTCAGGATTCACTCCACTGTGGGATGCTCTATGCCACCTTGGGACTCTGCAGAGAGCCCCCCACCCCAGCAAGAAGACCCTCACCAGCTGCAGCCCTATGATCCTGGACTTCCCAGCCCCCAGAACAGTAAGAAATAAAATTTTTTCTTTATAAATTACTCAGTTTTGGATATTCTGTTATAGCAACAGAAAATGAACTAAGACAAGTAAGCACCAATTTTAATTGCTTTGCTCATTTGTCACCTTCCTGGCCATGGGAGGCAGTGTAACTTCTAGCCTACTGTAAACTTGACTCCTCTCTTCCCTGGACTTTTCCACCCCATCACCCCCACACAGGCCATATACTTGCCTTCATCTGGGGCATTCTTGTCCCACACAGACCACATCTGGACACTGAAGAAGGGTGCCCAGCAAGCAATGTAGGCCAGCACAATGACGAAGGTCATCTTCACTGTACGGATCTTGGCCCGAGAGATGGTGCTGATGCTGCTGACCCGGGATGGCAGCCCCTGAGTGGCTGCAGCTGGGGCAGAGGGTAAGGGCTTGTCCCAAGTCCTCCAGCTACTTCTCTCCACCCTCCTGGCCTTTGTCTTGACTTTTAGGTTCTTACAGATTTCATGGCAGATAAGGCTATAGCAGGCTGTGAGCACGGCCACAGGCAGGACAAAGATGGCCATAGTAGTCCAGGTGATGTAGGCCCGTGGTCCCCAGGGGAAGCGGAAGTCAGCCCAGCAGTCCAGCACCCCCGAGCCCTGGATCACCTCCCGCAAGGAAAAAATGAAGACCTGAGGGAGGCTGAGGATGGCAGCCAGCAGCCAAGGAGCAGCAATGAGCGGGTAGGTAGACTGGCTGGGCTGCTGGAGGCTGCGCAGGGGGTGACAGACGGCCAGGTATCGGTCCAAGGTCATGGCCAGCAGCATGTAGGTGGAGGCAAACATGCTGAGCACTTGCAGGTATTTGATGGCTCGGCAGAGGAGGTCGGGGCCCTGGAACCGGTAGGTGATGTCCCAGAGCAGCTGGGGTAACACCTGGAAGAGTGCCACACCCAGGTCGGTCAGTGCCAGGTGCAGCATGAACAGGTGCATGCGGGAGCGCTTTTGGCCCAGCAGGCCCAGGATCAGCAGCACGGCCAAGTTGCCACCTGAGGCCAGCACCAGGACAATGGCCAGGATGCCAATTTCCACCTTGGCCAGCTCTTCATCCCGGCCAAGCCAGGGCGTGGTGGCATTGAGGGCAGAGAGGGTGCCTTGTGGGGTAGGCATGGCAGCCCAAGAAGGCTCAGAATCCATGGTCAAGGTTTGCTGGGAGGGAAGGAGAGGGTGAAGGATGAATGGAGGGTGTGGAGGGTCTTGATGGATGAAATGGAGTCGTGAAAGAAAGGCCTTATGTGCAGAGAAAGGTGACTGCGAGAGAAAAGTTTGTAAAAGGTGGATTGTTCAGAAGGATGGGGATGGAGAAGAGGGGAGATTGGAGAAGAGGAGAAGAAAGGAGGGGAGAGGAAGGGAGGGGA